AAGCTAAATGCTGAATAAATAGAGGCTTGTTGGTTTATTGCACATCAATCCACACAGTGACTGAGAGTGATTTATTTATGAGTCTGTGCTCACTGATCGAATCAATGTCCTGCAACCAGAATGCCAGAAGAATTCAGTTTGAAAACACACAATATTTAAGATGAAAACATATGATGACATGTGTTCTCAGTGTGATGCAAATGTTAGATTATCTACTTTCCTTTTATGTCCCAAATCAGTCATAAGCTTCTGTAGAACAAACTTGTGTTGGCTATAAATATTTGGCGCTGACCTCCATGGAAGTGGACTAACATGTGGAAGAACAGTTGTTGAATGTATTAACAAAGGAACACGTAAAGGCTTTGGTAGATTATCCTAGTAACTGACAAGCATTGAGAACATAATTAAAATCGTCCAAATATTCACGTTTCTTCCACTGCATCATACACGTTTGTGGGCCAGTAAACAGTATGGGGTATTAATCTGCCCGCTAACACTAAAGCGTGGATAATCTGCTCGATGAAAATCTGTGATTCACTCTCGGGTCCTTTCAGATGCATTAATGTTCACTATTAGACGTTAGGGAATAAGTTAGCAACACAATCATTCAGATGATTTTAGAGCCAAAGTTCTTCACATCTCTCTGATCAATAGGATAATCTCTCAAATACTTTGTGTTCCTGTTGCAACAACCATGTAACGGCACTGTGGAATTGCTGCCACTGCAACATTACTGGCCATAGTTCTCATCGATCTCTGGCTCCACTTAGCTCTTCGGTCAGTGTTTGTAAGATGTATCTGGTCTTTGTGCCATTATTTTCTTATAGATTTTATTTTATTTGTTCCTTCCTGTACCCTGTATCTGTTTGTATCTGTTATTTATTGTTTCTTTGTGAGATGTTTGTCTGATGGATGGGGGAAAAAAATCTTAGTCTTGGAAAATTAAAGTGTTTAGTAATCTTAACTGTTGGTTTTTGTATGTTTTTATGCTAAATGAGGCAATTTTGGTAGTCCCAGTGTTATTGTGATTTAAGAAAATACATTTTTTAAATTGTCTTTGGTGTCAATTGATAAATTTGACAAATATTTAGAGTGATAGCCACATCAAGGAAACTGTAATCAGACTAAATTATCCGGGGGGGATGCTGTGGTCCTGATAATTTCAGCCACACATATTTTTTGTTTGTTTGTTTTTGGCACAAATATATTTAAGTTTAATTAAATAAACCCTTAATCAAAATGATATGCAGAAAATCCCTGCATTGTACGGGTTTAAAAATTTCAGACGTATTAATAATTTATCCTCGCAAAGCTCTGGCCATCTTCTGCATCAGCTCAGCGGTTGGACTGTTACCCACGCCTGATTTCTGTGAACTCGCCATTGCACAAAGCGAGCCGGCCTCCGGCTGTGGTGGTGCTTGTCTGAGTGGAATTGCAGCATCACGTGGACCCTGTGGATGGCTGAAGGTTGATTGGTTTTATTGACTGACCTACAAAAAGAAAAACATGCACAGGAACTGACCTTGAACTGACGAGCTGCAGCTGATTGATGATAATCCACCAACCGCGAGGGCCGATTTATTAGGTACAGTTTACTAGTAACTAGTTGGACTGGACTTTGACCTTCAGGATTCTTCATGCTCCAAATATGCTCTGTGGGACTGAGATCTGGTGACAGTGGGAGCCACTAGGGTACAGTCTAAGAACTGTACTCTAGTGGCTCTGTACTCACAGATGGTATGAACACTCAAAGTGTGCTCATAAAGTGGGACGTGGGAGGGATCCATGCTTTCATGTTGTTTGTCTTAAACAACATGAAAGCATGGATCCTACCATTTGAACACTGGAGACGTGATGGTTCTCGCGTGGGACCCTCTGCTTGCACCGGGGTGGGCGGCCTCTACCAGGGTTGACTGCCTGTCTCCTCTGGGACTACCACTCCTTGGTGTGGGCGCCCCATCTGGGACCTCCCTCCTCCTGATGGGATGAGCGCGCAGAGACGTGTGGCTTTGCGTCTTTAGTACTCTTGGGGGCTGCGAACGGCCCGGTTCTCCCGGACCCATCTCTTCCTGCCTCTGGCTCCTGGGGGACGCTATTACAGCTTCCCACCTTCATTCCCAAGTATGTTTCATAACAAAGACACACTCACACTCTGTCTCTCACACACACGCACACACTCTGCCTGTCCTAGCTTAGACATTGTCATACTGTGTACCACATATAATGTGGTACAAGAGGAGCCTATAGAGAATTTATAGATTTAATCTTGGAAAAGCAAAATATGTTTGGCTCAGATCATAATTCTGATTGCAAAAGCTGCCAGACAGGATTTAAAAAACATAAATAAA